GCGCCTGTCTCTACGATTGAAGGGGTTTGGTTGTAGCGCCAAGCCACAGAGGTCGCAGTGATCCTCATCACAGGCCTTTCCACAGGTCTACGCCATGCAGTCTTTTTGCTCCTGCGCTCCAAGCTTGACACGGTATCACACCAGTGAAGGCCATGAAATGAGGGTAATTCCACGACACTTGTCAGGCCACCCAAATGCCTGGGCCATTCTACGTGAGCTGCTACAGTACTAAAGCCTACCATATACATATACCTATCTAATGCGTGCTAACTCGTGGGAGGGGTGCCTATTACTTGTGCGCCAAAGTCATGTATATAAATTAACTCGATTTATCATCGTTTAAAACGTTATATTTCGTTGTCATCGTTGGAAGGCGGCCATATACTTTGTGGCCAATTTCGGCGTATATAATATAATTTTATATATCGTTTTAACGTTATTCTTTCGTGATAACAACATGTCTTTCGACGTTCACATACCACGTACTTGCCGACAGGTCGAGTTTCTATTAATCAAACAGTGCCCTACTGACACGGATACAACTTCGACGGATATAGAGCTGCGATGGGAGTTCCGCGGGAATCAACAGAGCCGAGGAAGAGACAGTCGACAGAAAAAAGCTTCCCCTCTCATGCTAGAAGTAGCACGCAGCGGCACTTACTGGCGGATGTATAGCTGCAGGCAGATATGTATGAAAAAATTGTCGGGTTTGATGATACAAACATATAAATTTGAGCCTCACATTTATTACATAATCACTGGAATATTTTGGGAATAATAGGGACATTGCCATATTCCTCCTGGCGCAAATGGCGGCCATTTGACAAAATGGCCGATAATCGCGGTATTACATAAACCAATAATCTGTAGAAGTTGTGGCAAACTTTATTTGAACTGGCACGATGACATGTAAGTGTATGCAATATCACTTAAATATAATTCTGGGGATGCCAATTCAGGTCATACACCTTACATAACCGACTTCATTTGCGCTATCAGGACCAACCAATTACGCAACATTTGTTCATTTTGTCTTGTCATGTATTTTGCAATCTGAAAAATGTATCAGGTTATGATACATGAATAACCGCACTGCACTGTGGAAGTGCAGTTTCCCTTATATAATTATCATACTTTAATTTTACCCTTACATTGTCAGTGGGGTACATAGTTACATCATATCTGCAAATATAACAATTCGCCATGCGGACACAAGCCATCCATGATATGCAAGATTCTACTCCCGGCCACACTGTGCCGCGAGTGCATTAGTGCGTGCACTGGAAGGACAGCTGCAAAACCACTTGCATTGCTCCTCTGCATCCCCTTCTTGCAGCGCATATGAGAAGTATGCCGGCATACTTGCGTTGCTTCCGGGAGGGTATAGTCCATGCAGAGTTCAGCCAGTATCCACTCTTTCACCCTCACCCCGTTCGTAGGGATGGGATTCTGCTGCAGCACCATTCAGGCTGGCCCCAACAATAGCCAGCTTGGTAGGCAGTTCTCCTGATGTGCTGTCTGAGGCCGCTTGCTCGAGTTAGGCGGGCTGGAGGCGGGGCGAGCATCTAATGCTCGACGCTTCTGGTCGTGCTGAAGAGTGCTTACGGTGCAATCGTTGACATGCTCGATTGGCCCTGCTTAGGCCGATACATACAGTAGAGAACGACGAAACGTCCAAGGGCTCCAGCTGTCATCTACGATTGAGGGTAATTCTGGTGATAAGCGCCAAGGCACAGAAAGGTCGCCAGTGAACCTCATCACAGGCCTTCCACGTCTCACACATGCAGTCTTTTTGCTTCCTGACCTCCAAGACTTGACACGGTATCACACCCAGTGAAGGCATGAATGAGAGTCAATCACGGACACTTTGTAGGCCCCATGCCTGGCGCCTCTCGTGGGAGCTGCTAAGATACTAAAGCTCTTCCGGTACGAAAGCAACCCACGACTCATCTATGTTGACGGCAGGTTCGGCTGCTGCCACAGCAAGGAACTTACGGACATAAGTGTCCAACTGCTGCGGATCGAACCATTGGTGTTACGCCCTGCCTTCACAGACATCTTCCACGTGGAGCAGCCTCCTGGTAATCTGCTATCTTCATGCTGTACATGAGCAAGACCAGCCGGATGTCTCTGGCCATGGCGTACAGACCACATCTTTGTTGGGAGAGATGCACTGACATGACTTGGTCCTCTGCCTTCTTGAGCAAGCTAAAGTCTCGTCGCCTATGAAAGGAGAAACAGCTCCACCTCTGTTCCTCGTCAATCCCGTAGGAAGGCCTGCCAGCTTTACCTGCGTATGGACTAAGATAGGCTCGGACTCGTATCCGGATAGCCTCTACCATCCTCTCTTGTTACGAGTGTCGGCCTTCAAACTGTCTGGCAGGTATTCATCCGACACATCAATCTGATTGCATGACTAGTAGCTGAGATGTGATGTACGCCCAAGAAACCTGTGTTGCATCGTCACAGAACGTACTTCGCCCCAACGGTGCCAGATCTG